GGAGGGACAAGTGTGACTTGAAGGATTAATCTCCACACTATGACTTATTTTTTTTTTTGACGGAGTCTTGCTCTTGTCGCCCAGGCTGGAGTGCAGTGGTGTGATCGTGGCTCACTGCAACCTCTGCCTCCTGGGTTCAAGTGATTCTCCTGCCTCAGCTTCCTGAGTAGCTTGGATTACAGGCGCCTGCTACCACACCCAGCTAATTTTTGTACTTTTAGTAGAGGCTGGGGTTTCTCCATATTGGCCAGGCTGGTCTCGAACTCCTGATCTCAGGTGCTCCACCTGCCTTGGTCTCCCAAAGTGCTGAGATTACAGACTTGAGCCGCCAAGTGGGGCCCATGCTATGAATTTTAAAGCTCTCTGGTTCCACGGTTGGGAAAACCCATCAAAATGCTAATGGCTCTGTGGTCTTGCCTCCTGCAAACCTTTTCTGCATTAGAATATATTTACGTGGACTTGATCAGGGAAGTATTACACAGAGTTGGGGTGCAGTTTTCCCAGTATTCCCCCGCAGCCCTGTGGGTTATAAAGTCTGAATTAATAGCCCCAGTTGCGGAGAAAGCCTGTGGTTGGCTGTGGGGCTGGGCTCTTCACTCAATTCCATTTTAAAGGTCTCGGCTTTCAGCGTCCTTGCTAGCTGCAGGGTGGTCAGTTTAGAAACATCTCTATTACTATCATGTGGCTTTTTAATACTGCTTCTCTCTGAGGCAAACTATCCTTGGACATGCGTTCCTGCGTGTTTAAGACTGCACATTGCAACCACGTGGAGTTCAAGGTCTGGAACGTGTTGAGACACAATTCATAGCAAAGCCAACTTCAGCACTGAAACAGTCTCTATTCTTCTTGAACTGTGTGCCAAAGCCCTGGCTGTGCTGGTAACCTTTGAAAGCCCCGGTATCTTTGCTCAAGGAGCCCAATAAGCCAAGATGTAGGAGCTCAGATGTATCCTTGGGAGGATGAATCCTATGGTGTTGGCCACACGTGGCCAGTAATGCAGGCTGGACTTCATGGGCGCCATGGACTGGACAGCTTCGGCTGTGTGACTGTGGATAAGATGTCCGAACCCTCTGAACCTTTTGGTGTAGGAGAAAGAAGAATGCAATGCAGATGAAAAGTGAGGTCTAGTGGATATCCCTGTCCTTACCTCCTTGAAGTGCTGAGAAAGTGCTTTCAGACAGTACAAAGGAGGAGGTCCTACCCAGGCAGAGACCCTGGCTGGCACATGCCGCCTGTAGAAAAGCTCCAGACCAGAGGGGAGATGATTCTTTTTTTTTTTTTTTTACATGGAGTCTCCCTCTGTCACCCAGGCTGGAGAGACCTCTGTCCCGCTAGGTTCAAGCAATTCTCTTGCCTCAGCCTCCCGAGTAGCTGGGACTACAGGCACATGCCACCACCCCTGGCTAAATTTTTGTATTTTTAGTAGAGACAGGGTTTCACCATGTTAGCCAGGATAGTCTTGATCTCCTGACCTCATGATCCCGCCTTGGCCTCCCAAAGTGCTGGGAGTACAGGCGTGAGCCACCGTACCCGGCCAGGGAGATGATTCTTAACAGCAGTTGCATTGAGAATAAACAGCTTCACACAATCGTTTATGGGATTGGGACACTCCCTCCCTCCCTGGCCCTTCCATTCTCCCCATCTCACCAAGAGCTAAAGGGCTCAGATCGGGAGGCCCCGTGCCTCTGGGCAGACCCTTGGGGCCCCCTGCTGGCAGTGCCCGGAGCCTGCTGCACTGGGTCAACTGCAGTAGGGAACAGCCTCCACTTCCTGAGTAGAAATAGATCCCATCTTTCTGAGGATGTCATGGCTTCACTTCAGCCTCACTAAGACCCTGAGGCACAATTAGCAGGCTGATTGGAACTCATTCTGGGAACAAAGGGTGCTGGGCCCATTGACAGGAGAAGCAGGTGGGAAGCGCCTTCCCCCAGCCAGAGGGAAGCAGGTGGAGAGCCCGGCAGACTCTGCAAGGTTCTCAGCGATCAGGCGGCTTCATTAAGGGCTGCCCTGGGGTTTGCTGAGCTAGGAACGCATCAGCCAGGCGTCCTGAGCAGGCCTTGGCTCCCCTCCCTCTCCCCCGCCCCCACACCAACCTCCTACGTAGCTAATTTAAAACAAAGCAAAACAAAGCCAGGGCTTTGCTTTGGAGCCATAAACTGCAGAGCTTTTATCTGTCAACAAGCAATGCATCAGGCTGGCAGTGGCCCAGCCTGGATCCTGTGGCCTGGCATCGGCGTGGGAGAGGAGGTCTGAGGCTGAGCCAGGCTCCAGGGTCTCTCTGAGGATGCTGCCCCTTCTTAGGACATAAGGCCAAGTTCTTGTGGCCTCGGGACTCAGAATTCTGGCTGTTTCTCCTAGGAGCCAGGAAGATATGTAGGGTGGCTAGGGTGGGGAGTACAGAGTCAGGGTGGGGAAGAGGGGAGACAGAGAAATGGAGAGGGAAAGAGAGAGAGGTGGAGGAGGGGAGAGGGAGATGAAGAGAGAGATTGCTAACAGAAGCTAACCAGGGAAAGGCTTATTATTGGGTTGGTCATCTCTCTTTCTCTCCCTTTGTTCCTTGCTGCCTCTTCCAGGAAGCCTTCCTGGCTTTCCTCCTCCTCTGAAATCTGACTGACTTGGGATTCTAAAATATCAAGAGACTCTAAACAAGTGGTCTTCAATATTATCTGGAAATTTAATATATAAATTATTAGGAAGTCCGGCTGTTGTGAATTAAGTGTCTGGTGTGTGTGTGTGGAGGGGTGTATCCCTCATCTGTTCTTTGTGTAGAACCCCAAGGAAGAGAGGAAGGGAAGGGTTCCCAGGAGAAAAACTTGGAATCATGGATCATAGCCACTCCCCTTTTTTCCCTAGTGATTTTTTTAGTTGTCATAAAATACACAAAACATAAAATTTACCATCTTGGCCATTTTGAAGTACATGGTTCAGTGGTTTTAAATACATTCATAATGCTGTTCACCCATCCATGCCATCCATCTCCATAACTCTTTTCGTTTTGTAAAATGGAAAATCTATATCCATTAAGCAAGAATTCTTCCCATTTCTCTCCCCCCCAGCCCCTGGTAACTTCCATTCTATTTCCTGTCTATGATTTTAACTATTCTACATGTCTCATGGAAGTAGAATCATGCAGTATTTGTCTTTTGTGACTGGCTTTCTAAAATGTAGCATAGCATTTTCAAGGTTCATCTATGTTGTAGCATGTTAGAATTTCCTTCTTTTTTGAGGCTGAATAATATTCCATTGTGTAGATGGACCACATTTTGCTTATCCATTCATCTGTCGATGGACACCTGGGTTCCTGGCACGTTTTGGCTGTTGTGAATAATCCTACTGTGAATATGAGTAGACAGATACCTCTTTGAGACCCTGCTTTCTTTTCCTACTGTCTCGGTTCCTAATCTTTGCAGAAAAGCTTTCAGTCTTTCAACATTGAATATGATATTTGCTGTTTGCTGCGGGTTTTTCATATACAATTCTACTGTTTTGAGATTGTTTTCTTGTGTTTTTAGTTGAATGTTTTTATTATAAAAGGATGTCAAATTGGTCCGATGCTTTTTCTTTTGAGTATATACCCAGAAGCGGAATTGCTGGATCACCTGTAATTCTATTTTTAGTTTTTTGAGGAACTGCCATACCGTTTTCTACAGTGGTTATACCATTTTACATTCTCACCAACAGTGGGAGCAGGGTTCCAGTTCCTTCACATCCTAGCCAACACTTGTTATTTATTTATTTTTTTTAATAGTAGCCATGCTAGTGGATATGAGGTTGTATCTCATTGCAGTTTTATTTATTCACACTTGATCTTAGCCAAAAGGCTGAGAAGTGATCATTTATTTATTTATTTATTTGAGACAGGGTCTTACTCTGTTGCCCAGGTTGGAGTGCAGTGGTGTGATCTTGGCTCACTGCAGCCTCTGCCTCCTGTACTTAAGTGATTGTCTTGCCTCAGCCATCCAAGGAACTGGGACTACAGGCATGTGCCACCATGCCCAGCTGATTTTTTGTATTTTTAGTAGAGACAGAGTTTTGCTATGTTGCCCGGGTGGGTCTTGGACTCCTGGGCTCAAGAGATACACCCACCTCTGCCTGCCAAAGTGCTGGGATTACAGGCAGTGTGAGCCATTACACCTGGCCTCATTGCAGGTTTTGAGTTACATTTCCCTAATGTTTAGTTATGTTGAACATATTTTCATATACTTATTGACCATTTGTATATCATCTTTGGAAAAATGTCTTTTAATCTTTTCTGCCCATTTCTTGTTTTTTTTTGTTGTTGTTGTTGCTGAATTTGAGTTTTCTATATTTTCTGGATATTAGTCCTTTGTGAGATATGTGATTTGCAAATATGTTCTCCCATTCTGTGGGTTGCCTTTTTGCTGTATTTGTATTATCTTTTGATGCACAAATTTAAAATTTTTTCATGAAGTCCAGCTTGTCTATTTTTCCTTTTGTTGTCTGGGTTTTTAGTGTCATATCCAGGAAATCATTATCAAATCCAATGTCAAATTGCTCTGGCTAGAACTTCTAATACTATGTTGAATAGAAGTGGCAAAAATGGGCATCCTTGTCTTGTTCCTGATCTTTGAAGAAAAGCTTTCGGTCTTTCACCATTTAATATGATATTTGCTGTTTGCTGTGGGTTTTTCATATATGACTTTTACTGTTTTGAGATAGTTTTCTTGTATTTTTAGCTGAATGTTTTTATTATAAAAGGGTGCTGAATTTGCCCAATGCTTTTTATGCATCATTTGATATAATTGTGTGGGAGTATTTTCCTCCTCATTCTGTTGATGTCGAATATTACCTTGATTTTTGTATGTTTAACCATCCTTGCATTCCAGGAATAAGTCCCACTTGGTCATGGTGTATAATCCTTTTAATATGCTGCCAAATTTGGATTGCTAGTATTTTGTTGGGGATTTTTGCATCATTGCTCATAAGGGATATTGGTCTGTAGTTTTCTTTTCTTGTAAGTGTCTTTGTCTAGTTTTGGTATCAGAATAACGCTTGGCTCATTGTTCTTTTAACAGAAAGTAGCAGCAGATTATATTTTACAAAATTATTGCTTCTTCTATTTGTCAAGTGTTTATGATAGGCTGGGTACTGTGGGAATCATTTGCAATCTATTAGCTCATCTAACCCCTAGCTCCAGCTTGTGAGTTGGGACTATAGTTACTCACACGTTGCAGGTGAATATCCTGAGATTTGTTGGGATAAAGAACTTTCCTGAGGTCACAATGGTAACAAGAGGCAGAACTGAGATTTAAACTCAGGCCTGTGGGGGGCACAAAAGCCTGGCTTCTTAACCACAGTGCTTTACATTGATTTGATGCTGGGGGCTCCTCATCTCTCACCGTGTCTCCTGCCCCTGTTGCAGATAGGCAGCAGGCTGCACTGGGGAATTAGTCCCTATACAAAGCCCGTTCGCAGGAACCATCCACACAGTGCTATGCTGTTCAGTTATCCTGACCCTTTACCAACTTTAGAGTTCCCCCAAAATGGCATCTTTGCAAGGCCTCCATCAGCAGCTGTCCTTCTGCTATAAATCAGGCAGTTTGCCGATCCCATGCCTGTTCACAAGCTGGCCTACTGAACACAGTTGGCAAAGCAACTGCCTTGCATACTGGGGCTTGGCTTAGACACAGGAAAGCTTTGGTCTCCTTGTGGCACTGTTGAATTCTTCAGCACCTGGGTCAGCAAAGACCAAGACAAGAGGCAGCTCTGACTCCTCCTTCCCGAAGGTCTTATCTGTAGATCTAAGGACAGAGCAGGTGGCACAGTGGGGTGAGCTGGGAGGTGATGGTGTTTGACCACATGGTCTCTGCTCAGACCCACTGACTCTGGAAGACTAAAGCTAGGCTCTTCATAGTCCTAAGAGTCTCAGTATCCGAGGGTCTAGAGAAAATTATACAAGTAGGTGAGGGTCATTCCTTCCCTCTCTTTCTCACCATTAACCTAGTTCTGCCTTCCCACATTCATCTAACTCATTCTTTTATAGATCCACTTGTCTTCCCTTTGTCCTTCTGTTCATCCCTGTATTCATCCATCTCTCCATCCACCCAGTCATCTTCCCATCCCTCAACCAATTATAGCCTAGTTCCTTCTTTCTACCATTCAGGTTCTTTTATGGATCTGTTCGCTACTCACCCATCCATTTCTCCTAGCAACTGTCTGTCCATCCAACTATTATTTGCAGAATCAGAAACTGAGACTCATAGAAGGAGTAAGATACCACCCATATCTTTGAGGAACTCATAGTCTGGCAGGTGGGAAAAAAATCACATGAACACAAAATACACTATTATCTACACACACAATTTGTGATGGACACCCAGAGAACAGTGACTCGTGTCTGTTGAGAGAGTGGGAAGGTTTCACAAAGGAGTTAACTGAAAGAAGGTCTTGAACGATAATTAGGAGTTTGCCAAGTGAGGGGAGGGGTGAAACACAGGGTTAGGAAAGGAAGAGAGGAATTCCAGGAAGAGCAAACATCAGTGAATTTGGGCCAAGCACACTTTGAGTCCAGGTGAGGTCAATTTCACTGTGGGGTCTGTGCATACCGCAAAGACCTGAAGGTGGGCCTAGACGTGACCTGGGGATCAGATGATAAAAGGCCTTGTGTCTAGACAAAGGGAGGCCAGGGAACCCACTAAAGCAGGGACAGACATAGTGCTTTACATTTATGGGCTCACTCCAACAGTGAAAGAGAGGGCAGAGTGGGGAACAGAGGCTGCAGGCTGGCAGAACAGCCAGGAGTCCGTGTGCAGCAAGCAGACAGCAGTAATGAGGGTGTGCCCAGCCAGGGGACGGGCAGGTGCTATGAGGATAGTCAAGGTGGCTTTGGGACACATGAGGTGAAGAGAATCAGTAGCTGGGAAATAGACAAGAGTCTTTGATCTGGGTTTTGGTTGCATAGGGATATTCTGTTTGTGAAAACTCAGTGCGGTATATATTCATGGTATGTGTGCTATTGTGTATGTATGTTATATTTTAATTAAAACAATAAAAGTAGAATAGGAAACATCAGGAGACATATTAAAGTTTCTCATCTGGGTCTCATCCAGGACACGGAAGTGGGCTGACTGATTTTTTCTTGTAAATTGAGAGCTCTCCCCTAGTTTGGAAGGAGGAAGAGGAGGAAGAAGCTTTAACTTTTGAGCCAGGCCTTGCAAAATGGGTGAACCTGGCTTATACTTCTTATAGTTACTGCCACATATTAAGCTCCTGTATTTTGTGGATTCTAAGGCACGCTTTTTTAAAATAACATTTTAATGTCTCTGAAACCAGGATGCATTTTACAAAAAGTGATGTCATAGATAATTTAATTAATTGGTAGTGTTTTCTGTTTCTTAGAAGTGTTTAAAATTGCGGTGTCATTATGATCCATGGAGACGTCCATTCAAGAGCCATGATATCATGTGCCAGGCTCTCTGCTAAGTTCTGCACACACATTTCTCACTGGGTCTCACACTAGCCTGCGAGTCATCAGCTGTCGTTAGCCCTGTGTCATAGATGAGGAGGCCAGGCATGATGTAGGTAGGTCACTTGCTCTGGGTCACAGCTAGTAAGAACTCGATTTAGGATTTCAACCTGTGCCCCCGCCAAAACATTCAGGAGAACTATACACAGAGCAAGATCAAGTTTGGGGGCAGGAGGGTGGTGGGGACTTCCCAAAGCCCAAGACTAATCAGGTAAAGGGCAACCCCCATCGCCTGCCCACCAGGCTTACACCCTGCCACTTTCACCCAGGACCCACTCCTGCTCTTAGCCCTAAACCCTGGGGTTCTTTTCTCTGTCTCTCAGGAGAGCTCTGGCTCTAACATCTGTATCGAATCCCCTCCCCCATGGAGAGCAGGGGCTACAGTGAGGTCTCAGGGGCAAGGGGGAAACATTCTAAACCCAGCTGGTTTCCCTCACACAATGCAGATTTGCTCAAATGGGAATTAGGATTAGTGCCGGGTTTTGCCTCTTCTGGCAGGCTGGTAATAAACTAATCTCCTCTGAGGCTGCAGGAAGGCAGAATTCCACCAAAGACGGGAGACAGCTTAAGGCTCCAGAGCACAAAACCTGGAAAGTAATTTTGTTATTGACAAGCGCTGCCCACACCTCCTGACATGCAGCCCGCAGCTCCTTCCCGGCGTGGCTGCAGCCTTTAATTCCGTTAATGTGTGACATTCACCCAGGCTGTGCGGCTGACAGGCACTCTTGACACTAATACGTGTTCCGTGTAGTCCCTGGAGCTCATAAAAGCTCATTATCAGTTCTAAGCCAGTAAATGCAGTTCCTGGCTCAGGTAGGCCCGAGTTCCTCTGCGATGCTCCAGACAGCAGAACAGCGACATCTGCACCAGCCAAGTCCCACACGCCTCCCTTTGTCCAAGGCTCTCGGCTTCCCAGGCCGTTGGAAGGTGCCCAGGAAAGCCATTCCACAAGCAGAGCCCTGGGTTCAAATTTACATCTGAGAGAAGGGGTTCATTCTGCCCTGCACTGTGAGGTGACTCAATCCAGCATTTGGGGAAGGTAGTTTGTCAGCACTACCCAGCCTCTCCTCTGCTCACTTCTAAGCATCTGGGCTTTGGAATTGCATGAACATTTCTGCACCAAGATGGGCACCCAGGTGATCATTGCAGCAAGGTTCTAGAGGCCAGAAATGGAGCTGTCCGACAGAGCCACAGTGGGAAATACACAAATGGTAGATAAACTGTGGCCCACAGAGTACTATGGGATACTGTGCAGCTATGAAAAGGACTCAAGAAGATCTTTTTTGGCCATGATATCATTGGCAAGTGATGTTGTAGAATGTGTGTGGTAAGATCGCATTTTTGTGGCCAGACGCAGTGGCTCACGCCAGTAATCCCAGCACTTTGGGAGGCTAAAGTGGGGGATCACAAGGTTGGTGTTTGAAGCCAGCCGGGCCAATATGGTGAAACCTCATCTCTACTAAAAATACTAAAATTATCTGGGTGTGGTGGTACACACCTGTAGTGCCAGCTGCTCGGGAGGCTGAGGCAGGAGAATGGCTTGAACCCGGGAGCGGGAGGTTGCACTGAACTGAGATCGTGCCACTGCACTCCAGCCTGGGCAATAGAACGAGACTCTGTTTCAAAAAAAAAAAAAGATCCCATTTTTGTAAAACATCACACTGCTATGTGCTCACATAAGTACATGCTTATACACACATGCATACATGCATTTGTTTGGGTAGAATAAATTCTAGAGAGTCTCACTCCAGAGTCTTTGCAGTGGTTCTGTCTGTTAAAAAGGATGACTAGTGAGGAAGCACATGCCTTTTGTAGTTAAAAATGAAAAACTTACCTATATCTTTATCTGTCTTTGTAAATAACTTTCCCAGGGTCATACCTATATATACACATGTGTGTGTGTGTGTGTGTGTGTGTGTGTGTGTGTATCTATATGACTTAATGGGTTTATACATGTAACAGATTCCTCTGATTGTAGCCTTAGTCTGGTTCATGATGCATGAGGCCCCCCTGTGCTGACACTGCCTGCATGGACTCTTGAGGCCCAGATGGACAAATAAAATGAGGTCCCATCCTCTAGCCAATCCGTTTCCCATCAGTTAACGGGAATTCTGAGACTCACTTGCATGCATGAGCTGCACTGACACTGGGGTCTGTAGGGTAGACCTTGAACTCTTCGCCTTCCTGCTTCCACACTCCCACTGTGGAGATGATGGCACTGACACCTGGCTTGACTTCCCATGGCCGAAGTTCTAGCCCCAGCTCTGCCTCATTTCAGTGATGTTACTTTGGGCAAGTTATTTAACTCCTCTGAGCTCACAGTCCTCGTTCCTGATGTGGTGACACTTTCTCCTGGGGTTGTAAGGGATGTCAGGATTATCATCATTATCATTCAAGAGACCTGAAACTTGATCAGGGCTTCCACTGTGCAGCTAGTCTCTGAAGGCAGAAGTCTGGGAGGGGAGAGACTGGCGAACTTAGCTTTCTCCCCTGTGCTTTGGAGGCTGTAAGTTTTGCTCTTATTTCTTAGCTGTGCATGTGACCAAGCCCATCCCTCGGGACTGACCTGTCTCTGCTGGCAGGTATGTGGTCTGGACATGGTGAATTTGATCCTTCTCTGGTGACCTGGGGACTCTTCATCAAACTGACAGAAAGGAAGGGTTGGAGAGGCTGGACTTCTAACCCTGCTGGCATTCTGGAACTGAGTTCTTTTTTCACCACTGAGACTTTCCTTCCCATTACTTATCTCTTCATGGATAGCAGACCTTGAAAGCGTTGGGTTTGCCCAAAGAGCCTGCATTCATTAGGCAATGATTAATTCTTTTTCCTATTTTCAAAATGACTCAGAAAGACTTTTTTCAGCCTGAGGAAACTGGAATTCCCACACCAAGTTGATAATATTCTAGCTAGAAGCAAAGAAACATAGTGTGATGTTTTGATTAGCATGTTCAATGGCATTGCATGGATGTACAGGCTCCAAGCTGACTTGGGAAGATTGAAAATATGCCCCCATTCATAGACTCTGGAGATGCCATCCTGAGAAGCTGTGTGAGCCTGGTGCTTAGTCCTGCCCTTCCAGCTATCTGAGTCCAGTCTTGCACTGCTATAAAGAAATACCTGAGACTGGGTAATTTATAAAGAAAAGAGGTTTGATTGGCTCACAGTTCTATAGGCTGTACAGGAAGCATGGCAGCATCTGCTTCTGGGGAAGCCTCAGGAAACTTATATTCCTGGCAGAAGGGGAAGCACGCATGGTGGCATGGTAGAGACAGGAGCAAGAGAGAGAGGGGAAGGTGCCCCACACTTAAATAACCAGATCACACGATAACCCACTATCATGAGAATGGCACTGAGGGGATGGTGCTAACTCATTCATGAGAAACTGTCTCTGTCAGGGTTACTATTTGTGGGAGTCTTTCAGACTTTGACCTGGCAATGGATGAATAAAGTACACTAACATACAGATATTATGCTTTGCTAGTTTGGCTGAGGGTCTGTGGCTGCTTACTCTTTGGAGGGTGCTGTAAACAGTCGCAACTGCTGCTTTCTTTAGCTAGTGAGACTTGCATTTATTTAGTAAACTTCAATTGACAAAGGCTTGAGTCAATACCACTAGAGGTTGGAAGATTAAAGGACAGGTTCTGATGCTTAAAGCAAATACTATTAGAAGGTAATATCTTTGGGTTGACTTCTTGAGAGAGCTATCTGGCAAAGGTTAGTTTTAAGACTACATAAGTAAGTTAGCTAGGTAAACTTCTTTACATACCTTAGCTATTTGCTTTACTTACTAACTAAATGTGTAGGGGATTTAGGCTACTTTCAGCTGAAACTTCTACTGAAACTATGAAAAAACGTATCTCCGTGATCCAATCACCTCCCACCTGCCTGGATGGACAGCTGAGGCCCCACCTCCAACACTGGGAATTTTGATTCGATGTGAAATTTGGTGGGGACACATTTAAACTGTATCAGCAACCATGGGTGTCCTGTCTGGCTTCTGTGCTTGCAGTGATGGAAGTGGGGAGTGTCCCACTTTGGAGAGTGGGAGCACTGTGTGGACTGAGATGGTCCCCAAGGAATACTGCCTTTTTGAAATGTGTTTCTCTCTCTTCTTTCTCTAGAGTGTATCTGAAAGCTGCTGTCAGGAGGACACTGTAGGAGAATATTGGCATCCCTGGGCCCAAAGGGAAAGACACCTGTGGAAAGAGGTATGATGTAGCAACATGGCAGGGTGGCATCTCCACTTACTCAAACAAGAGGGTCTGCTCTTCTCTCTTCTTCTCTTCTTGCCCTACAAACCACCAGTTCTGTTTGAGAGGGCTCTCAGCTCTTGCCCAAGGGGTACAGAGCAGGAGAAGGGCGGCTTCACTCTTGTCTTCACCTCTAGACATTTTCTCATGGATGAGGGCAAAGGGGCCACCTTGGTGCAGGAAATGAGGGTGGATGTATGGCAGAGAGTGAGCTCTTCAAGGAAGAGTGGAGCTCTTGGGGGTTCCAGGCAGGGTCCTGAGGGCTCGTGGAATCTGTATCAAGGACCCTTCCTCGAACTCAGCCTCCTCCATACCCACCACAGTCTTGGAACTATGAGGCAGATATTGTTTCCTATGGTGATTATCATCCCTCTGCCCTCGATTCTCTTTTGGATAAAGTCTAAATCCACAAGCACTGGGATCAATCACCACATTCCATGGTGAAACTGAGAACAGAAAAGGCTTAGTCTGCTTCGGAGGCTCTGGGAAGTCCTTCTTGAACTGACCATGATCCTGGGACTGGTGATGGGCTGGGTGGCCTCATGGAAGCTTCCTGGATGAAAAGCTAGGATGTCTGTCCTCTGAGCAGCCTCGGCTACCATTGTGACTCATAAGTCATTTCCCTCGTTGAGCCTCGTTTTCTCATTGTAAAATGAGGCAGCTATGATTTGAATCTCTGTTCCAGCACTCACACTCTCAATTTCTGGGATTCTAAAAGTGGGGCTGAGCTGGAAGAAGTGACAGGTCAGTGGTTGGGAGGTTATGTAAGGCCATGGAGAGGAGAGGGGATTTGAAAACTCGAAGGAGATCTGATTGCCAGTCTTGGTCAAAAGACAATGGCTCCGACCCTTGGTGGTAAATCACAGGATCTGCGGTGCAGAAGAACCTGGGTTTGAGTCCCTGCTGATCAGAAGAGAAACCAGCAATACGATAGAGCGCTTCATGCGCCAGGCACAGTGTGATGCCCACTCGCTGCACCATCCCATTCCATCCTCTCAGCCGCCCTGTGATCTTGCCACTATGATCACCTCCACGTTAGAGAAGAGAAAAACAGGCCTCAGAAAAGTTAAATGACTTGCCCAAGGTCACACAGCACTGAGTAATGTCATCAAGATTTGAAGCCACTGCCTGAACTGCCCTACAATGCTGTGTCTTTTACTTAAGTCTGTGATTTGAAGCTTAAGATTTAAAATAATTAGCCAAATTATTTCTCTGAAGTTCCATTTCCCATAAAAATATAAAAATGGTTTGTTTCCCTGTCCTAGACTTTTTTTTTTTTTTTTTTTTTTTAATTTTGGGCATCTCATGTAACCCCTGCAGGTCTTGATTTTCTGATCTCTAAAATGGGACGGTAACATCTACTCATGGGTTGCTTTGGGGAAAAGACAAGGAAGACTCGGGAAGCTCCCTGCACTGGATCTTATACGTGCGCCCTTCATACCCGCTCCACCTGCTTCCCCTGCCTGGGGCTACTGGCAGGGTGCATGGGGCGTGCAGACTGTAAAGGGCTGTACCACTGCCTGATAGAATTTTCTATTTCGGCTGCCTCTGTGCCCATAGTCAGAAAGCACGTGGCCACTTTCTTAGTCACCGATCTGATGGTTCACTCTCCCTTTCAGAGTGTGCCGCTGGCCGCCCTGGATTATTCTAGGCTGGAATCCAAGGCAGGGTGGCCGGCTCCCAGGGGCAGATAAAACAGGGCCAGGCTGAGGCCTTTGTGGACAGTGTGGGAGGAGCGGTGAGGCCTGGGGCCTGCTCTGGCTGTCCCTCACTGACAGTGTCTGTGTCCCACGGCTCACCCCACCAACTGCCAGGATCATAATCTTAATTGTAAACCTCCTGGCAGCGGCTGCCCTGATCCCTACAGGAAGCGGTTGCCTTATCACAGAGCCTGAATCCTGCCTGGTTTTCTTAATCTGGAGAAGGCGCTGAAGCGAGTCAGAAAAAGCTCCCGTCCATCAGGACCTTTCTTCTAGGGATGTTTCTCCATCTAGGGACATGATGGGCCTCAAACCTCAGTGTATAAGAGGAAAGAATCTCTTTAAGTGCAGAGCAAAGCAGCAGGGGTGGTGGTGTTCTGGTTTACTTTCAGGAGGAGACCCCAGGGAGCAGAGCTATTTAGCCTTGCCCCTCTTGGTAGCCAGGAAACAGATAAACGTTATAGCATCACAGGGAAAATATAAAGAAGACCATAAAGCAACAGGCAGAGAGTCAAGCACTGTCGTGGAAAAGCTTTGCTGGGGTTTTGGAGTCAGAAGGGTGAGAGCTAAATCCCAGCTCTGCCCTTCAGTAGCTGTTTGGCTTGTGGGCGAGTGACTTGATCCTCCCCAGCCTCAGTTTTCTCATCTGTAAGATGGGCAAAGGTCATGTACCCCACTGGGTGGTTGTAAGGTTAAGGTGACCACCATGGGAAGCCCCTGTTTGCTTTGAACAATGGTAGCCCCGTTGGAATAGTATAGCCTCCCAAGGTGACCTCTTGGGAAGAGGGCCAGGCTCTTGGGATGTAAGAGCTGGGTGTTTGTAACCAAACAGTGGGGTTACCCTGGAGACGCATACCTCCTTTTGTGTGAGGTCTAAAAAAGGGCTGTGAGAGGGACCTGGGTTGTGTCAGCTCTCTGTCCTAATGTGCTATCACTTGGAGCCAACTCAGGTATGAGCAGTTCATCCCAACCCTCTACCTGATGGCTGGCATGTCACTCACAGCCATCTTTACTGGACCCTTTCTGTAGATAATTGTTAATCCTACCCACACCCCAGAAGGCAGACATTAATAAGCTTTTTAAATGACTTCAGGTTTCATGTCTAAAATACAGCAAGGAAGGACCCAAACACAGGGTTCCTGGCCCAAGGACAGTGTGTGGGAGCTTTTCACATCACCCTCTGCACCTAGAGATACTCTCTTGCCCATGGTGGCACCTTTCTCCAATTCTCCACCCAGCCTTGCAGTGAGTGTGGCGCTCAGGCAGAAATGAAAGTATCCTTATGTTTTTATCTCTCCAGCCAGCCCTCTGAGGCAGGCTGGGTGAGAGAAGGCAATTTCTATGGATTCCCCAGGCTCCAACTTATCTACTTTTTGTTATTGTTGGTCAAGCTTTTGGTGTTCTGAGTCCATAGCCAAATTTGAGGTCATGGAGATTTACTCCTATGTTTTATTCTGAGAGTTTTATTTAGCTCCTATAGTTATGTCATTGATCCTTTTTGAGTTAATTTTTATATATGGTGTGAAGTAGGGATCCAGTGTCATTCTAGTGTATGTGGATATCCAGTTGTCCTTGCAATCTTTGTTGAAGAGACTATATTTTCTCCAGTATATTGCCATTACTGCTTTGTCAAATATCAGTTGATATATATATGTGGCTCTATTTCTGGGCTGTCTGTTCTGTGCCAATAATCTATTTGCCTGCACTTTCACCAATACCACATCATTTTATTGATCTATGTTTATAGTAAATCTTAAAGTTGGGTAGTGTCAATTCTTCCAACATTGTTCCTCTCTTTCAATTTTGGGTTGGCTATTCTGGGTTTTTTACTTCTGCAAATCAGTTTGCTCATAGTCCCAAAACAGCTTGCAGGATTTTAATTGGATTCTCTTGACTCTATGGATCAAGTTGGGAAGAACTGACATCTTGACAGTATTGAGCCTTCCTATCTTTGAACATTGATTATCTTTCAGTGTTTTCATTTATTTACTTCTTTGATTTCTTCAATATGTTTATGTAGTTTTCTTCATACAGATCTTACACATATTTTGTTAAATTTATTCTTAAGTATTTTATTTCTTTGGGTGTTAATAGGAATGATTTTGTTTTTTTAAAAATTTTCAAATTCTACTTGCTCATTGCTAGTAGGTAGGAAAGCAATCACTTTTGTATATTAACCTTGTATCCCACAACTGTAGTATAATTGCTTAATTGCTTATTTGTTCCAGGATTTTTTTTTAGTAATTTCTTTCAGATTTTCTACATAAACAATCATATTTTCTGCAAACAAAGACAATTTCACTTCTTCCTTCTCAATCTATATGCCTTTTCTTTTCTTGTCTTATTACAGTAGCTATGACTTCCAGTATGATGTGGTAAGAAGGGCCATCCTTGCCTTATTCCTGATCTTAGCAGAACAGCCTCAAATTTCTCATCATTGAGTTTGATATTAACTATCAGTGTTTTGTAGATGCTTTTTATCAACTTGAGGAAGATCCCCTCAATTCCTAGTCTGCTGAGAGTTTTTATCATGAATAGGTATTAGATTTTGTCCAATGCTTTTTCTGCACTTATTGATATGATCATGTAATTTTTCTTTATTAGATTGTTGACATGATGAATTATATTATTTGATTTTTTAATGTTAAACCAGTTTTATGTATCTGGAATAAATCTCACAGGGTCATGTTATATAAGTCCTTTTATACATTTTTGGGTTTAATTTGTTGATATTTGTTGAGGATTTTTGCATTTACATTCTTGAGAGATATTGGTCTGTAGTATTCTTTTCACATAATGTTTATTTTCTAGTTTAGGTGTCAGCATGATGGCCTCACAGAATGAGTTAGGTAGTATTCTCTCCACTTCTATATTCTGGAAGAGATTACTGAGAATTGGTGTAATTTCTCCTGTAAGTGTTTGGTAGCATTCACCAGTGAACTCACCTGGGCCTGATGCTTTCTCTTTTGCAATGTTTTAAATTATTGATTGGTAAGAAATTTTAAGTCTTAAGTGTTCAGTGCTATTTCCAATAAAGTAAATAACTGAAGAAAATAAATAAATAAATAAATAAATGATTAGATTAATAAATATAGGCCTATTAAAATTGTCAATTTCTTTTTGTGTGAGCCTTGGCAGATTGTGTCTTTCTAGGAATTGGTACATTTTATCTAAGCTATCAAATTTGTGGGCATAAAGTTATGCATATTTGTGGGCATAGAGCTGTGTTTTTATCCTTTCGTATCTATGGTACATTTC